CCCAAAGCCCCAGTAGATAGTTGTATGTCGTAGGTTCACATCCTTCTAGTTGCTGTACGCGGGACTCGGCCTCGGGTTGGACGGAGATGTGGTGCCTCGGGGCGCGCCCGGGATCCGAACCCGGGCCGCCAGCATCAGAGCGCGCGCACTTAACCGCTAAGCCACGGAGCCGGCCCCGATTTGCTCTTGTTTTAAACGAGGAGTGTCAATTTAAGTTCCTTCCATGTGCCAGGCATTGGGTATACTAAGAAGTCACTACTTTTACCTCTTCCAGGCGACCAGAAGAGAAATTTCTGCTCCACTCCCACCCCCAGCTGTCACAGCCCGACCCTTATGTTTCAGGGCCCAAGGCTCCTTCCCGGAGTCTGTCCTCAAGCCTTCTTGTGCAGCACAGGCCAGTCTCCTGTCGCCTGTCCTGCCTACAGCTGAGAAAGAGAAGAAACATGAGAACGAGAGAGGGCTGGCTGGCCACAAGGCACCTCAAACAAGCCCGAGACAGGACAGTCACCCCCACTCCCAGATGGCCCCCAAAACTGTGGCAATGAGGCTCCTTCTGCAGGAAGACAGCCCCTCCCCTCCTCCCACTGCCATCCCACCCCTCCCTCACCCTTTACTCTGTGCCGTTTGATGCTTCCATCACCTGCTCTCTGTCTCCTGCCCACAGCATCCAGCAGATTCAGTGTTGTTTGGACAAGATGTACCTCATCTACAAACAGTTCAAGAAATCCAGGATGAGGCCAGGTGAGCTGTGGGGAGAGCAAAATACTCCTCTTGCTTTCCCCTCCCTCCCTTCTCCCTTCCTTTTCTCTAATCCTCCGATTATTTGTCAATACTCCATGCGGTGTTGCTGCTGGAGGCCCACTACGTGGGTGGCGCCGTGTGGAGCCAGGGGGCAGCAGGGTCCTGTGAGGGACACGAAGCGTTGACACCTGTGCCTGTTGCCGTGTGGGGGGCTTACATGACACGAGTTGGGGGCACAGTGGGCTGGAGCCTGGGTGCTATGAAAGAGGTGGCCCTTGAAAGAGACCCCTCAGCTTTGCAGGGCACTTGACCGTTTAAGGAGTGTTTCCCCATCCATTTTGTCTTCGTCTCACTAAAATAGGTTTTCCAGAAAGGGAGCATCTGGGGAAATACCAGTTAGAGTCACTCGTAGGCACTTTGCTGCCTTATCTACTAATCCTCACCAAGACCCTATGGGCAGGGGCAGCTCATTTACAGGCTCAGGGATGGGGAGCTGCTTGCCTGAGGCAACTGCTATGACGGGGCAGGGGAGGGTCGAGCCAGGGAAGGGCCGGGGCTGGGGGAGCCCGAGGAGGCCCCAGGTGACTCTTGGGGTTGGGGCGCTAACAGGTCAGGAACTGACCATCTCCCCCACCCACGCCCCAAACAGTTTCGAATTTGTACACTGAAGGTCTTGGGCTTGATTGCCAAGTTCTCCTCTATCCTTCGAGTATCTACGAAGCACTATCCCATAGAAATACAAAGCCAGCCACATAGGTAATTTTAAGTTCTCTAGTAGCCAAAATTCAAAAAGTAGAAATAAACAGGTGAAATCAATTATAATAATATATTTTATTCAACTCAATATATCCAGATTGTCGTTTCAGCACGTAATCAATATAAACACAATTATTAAAGAGAGATCTTACGTTCTTTTTTTGTGCTAAGTCTTCACAACCCCAAGTGTATTTTATACTTATGGAGCATCTCTATTTGGAAGCTGACTTTTTAACAAAGTAGGTAGTTTTACCAAAACAACAAAGCTGTGTTTAATGGGGAAAAAATTTTTATACTGCTTCAGTTTTAAATTTTGAATTAATTAAATGAAATAAAAATTCGGTTTCTTGGTCGCACTAGCCACACTTCACGGCTCAGCAGCCACCTGTGTCTGGTGGCCGCAGTGTTGGACATACGGATCTAGAAGATGGTCTCTCCTTGGGAACCTCAATCCTGCCCCACGGTCTGGCCCGGGAGGGGGTGGAGGGCAGCACAGAGGCGGGAAAACCAAGCCTCTCCTGCTCTTGGAGCCGGTGGGGCCTTGGGCTCAGCAAGGCTGGCCTGACACCCAGTTGGCGACCTTTCCTGTGGTTTTAGGAGAACCTCAGAGGCGTCTCTGCCCCCATCACTGGATTCCGTAATCCTCTCATCACTACCCTTCTGAGCACCTCCCACCTGCTGGGCGCTGTCCTGCGGGCTGCTCCTCTTCTTCATTTATTTAGTGCTCACAAAAGCTCTAGACACAGTTACCCTCCCCATTTGATAGATGAGGAAACAGAGACACCGAAGGTGAAGTAGCCCAAGCAATCTGGGGCTGCTGCTTTTAACTACCCCATTTTATAGCCTCAAAGAGTTTCATTTCTATTGGTCTTCAAGAGTCCTTTATTAAAATTAAAAATGAACCAGGAGGAATAACCCTTGCCTGCTAACACCTGGGTGTTGAAAGATGCCATTCTGAGAGTGCTCAGGAAGTTTCAGGCACTCTCTCTACCGTCACACTGTCCTAGGCGTCACATATGACAATGACAGAGACTCGGTGAGGTGACATCACTGGCCTACAGCCCCGCTACTGGGAGGCAGGGCTGGGACTTGCAGCTTGGACTTCACAAGTGCTGGCTGAGAGCACAGCCTGGATGAGGGCCCAAGAAGGGGATTCTGCTATGAGGGGACTGGAAAGTGGGCAGCAAGGCAACCCTCCGCTCCACGTCCTCTTGGGGAAGCCACTAACCCAGAGGCCCATTCCCTTGAAGCCCAGGAGGGCCAGCATCTCCCTAGTGCACTGAGCCCAGGAGGCCGCCAAGGCCCAGAGGACTTCAGCCCTTCTGGCAAAAGTGGCTAGGCCGGGAAGGGGGGGTAGAGGGTGGTAGCCCCGCTTCTCCAGCTCCTTGCTGTGGAGCCCAGGTGGCTCTGCCTGCAGCTTGAATATTCAAGGGTGGGCCTATAGGCCAAAGGCATCAGTCACTCCGGGAGGGGTGTTGGACGAGAGGCCGGGCTGACCAAGCATCCTTCAAGACCCATCCCATCTACCCTCACCACCTGAAGCATTCCTCAGGTACCTACCCCTCACCCTACACTGTGGGCTCACCTGCCCCAGGGCCCTGTAGCAATTTCTCTGCTGCTTCTATGGGCCCCACCTCCTCCTAAGGCAGTGTCTCGGGTGCTTGTTTCACTCCTGTCCTTGCTGGCTCCACTGAGCTGGGAGCTCCCAGGAGCAGGGCCCCAGCTAGGCTGTCCTCATCTTTGTAGTTGACCCCCGACCCTTGTGGCATTCCATTTTGTTGACTGATGAACAGGTGACATTGTTCCTATCTGTTTCCTTCAGGGCTTGGCTACAACGAGGAGCAGATTCACAAGCTGGATAAGTGAGTGGCCTGTCCCTGGGCAGGCGGGTGAGCAGGAGGGTGGGCGTCAGCAGGGCAGGGCAGTGCTCTGTGCCGGCCAAGAAGTGGAGAAGGGCCCTGAGCCCAGGCCATGTCTGGGGCAGGCTGGTCAGGCCAGGGAGGAGACGGAGGGCTGAGTCGGAGAGAGGTCTCTCAGAAGCTGTCTTGACGTAGCTGGACTTACTTCTGGGGTGAACAAGATTGTTGTAGGACTTCGCCCCCCACTGTCCTCACTGATGTACCACTTACCACTTCCTGCTTCGGAGCTCTGCTGAGCTTCCTCTGGGCGTCCCTCTGCTCTTGTTTCCTGGACACTCATCCTCCAGGAGGCCATCCCTGATTTAATGCTTATTTTGGGAACTCACTCCCCTGGTTCTACATCTGACCCCTTGTACACGTGCACACACACACACATACACGCACACACTTCCCATAACCGCCGCGCCTTCCCTCCTTCTGGGGACTGAGCTGGAGAGTGTGTGTGTGCTCTGGGGCGCCCTGACCTTCTCCCACATCTCTGCTCTGCTTGCTGGTGGCCGCCCTCTGATCTCCACGATGACGTGTGCGAGCATCATCTCCTCCTCCTCTGGCGAGGTGGCCTTGCTGTGGACCCAGGGCTGGGCACTTAGGTGGTGGAGACCCAGGGTTATGAGCCTTGTGCTCAGGTGGCTCTGGCTGCTTAGCTTTCTGCCTCGGTTTCCCTATCTTTACAGGGTGAATTTTAGCCATTTAGCCAAAAGGCTCCTGCAGGTGTTCCAGGAGGAGTGTGTGCAGAAGTATCAGACATCCCTGGTCACGCACGGCAAGCGGATGAGGTAATGGCCTGGTCCTCCCTCCTGAGCTCATGGACCCCAGGGCCCTTCCTGGTCTGGTCCTTCCAGGCTTCAGACACCCCGAGCTGTGCAGAGCACTGATTGAGAGGAGGTAGAAGTAAAGGAACAGAGGCAAAGAAATGGGTGGTTCTGTGGCCCTGGGTGGACCAGGCAGTCTGCTGGGTGATTTCTACATATGAGCTTATTAACCCCATAATATCTCCCTATGCAGTAGATACTGTCACCCCATTTCACAGATGAGGAAACTGAGGCTCAGGTTGCTTCCTCAATATCACATAGCTAGTAAGTAGCAGACCCAGGACTAGTATGTGGGTAAGATTGCCTCTAAAATCTGCATTCTTCCCACCATCCCAGCTGGTTGTGCTGGGGGGCCCCCTCTCTAGGGAGAACACACGGTCCCTCTGGGATGAGGACAAGTGGTTAGGGAAGCAGGGCCAGGCAGCGGCCCCTACACAGAGGCCTCTCACGCTGCCCCTGTAGGAGTGTTGGGTCCTCCCTTCTCAGGCAGTCCTCCTCCTTCAGAGTTGTACAGTTGCACAGTACTGGCTCCTTCAGAGAAGGGGGCGCAGTTTCTCAGGTGCTGCTGGTTCCCAGGCCTGTGACCTGTGCGCTTGTTATGGGGCTGAGGCCCCAGCACCCACCCACCCTCACATGAGAACGCCAATGCCTGGCTCCCCCACCCCCAACCCACCCCAAATTCTGATTTAATTGGTCTGAAGTTGGCCTGGACATCAGTAGTTTAAAAGTGCCTCCAGGTGATTCTAATGTGTAATCAGGGTTGAAAATCAACCACTGGTTCAACGGCCCTGGGTCTTGTTTCCTGGGACTCTGGTTTTGTGCAATGGGGAAAAGTTCTTGCTCACGCCCTCCACTCATAGAGAGAGGAGAATTCATGAGTTTTGACTTTGACTTGCTCTGGAAATGGCAGTGTGGGCAGTTCCCGTAGTAAGTGCCCCTGTGGGCTGTCCTCTGCCTCTCTGGAGGCTGACTGGCCCCGGGCTTGTCCTAACCAGCATGAGTGTCGGCTGCAGCCACACGCATGTCCGCAGCTCCCAATGGGGTCTGCTGGGACCCTCACCAGCCTCACTGTAAGAATGGGACAGGTGAGGGTCGAGGGCACACCTGGAAGGGCAGAGGCAGTGAGGGAGGCACATGCCTGGGACCCTTCAGCTCCAGCCTCTGTCATCTGGAAAGCCTCTCCTCTGTGTCTGTGTGGTGCCCTGAACGACAGCTGGGTGGGCCCTGGTAAGAGTCAGTGAGCTGGCTCTGATTACTGATCTGCTCTCTCAAGGGTGGCGCATGAGACCAGGAACCACCTGCGCCTGGTGGGCTGCTCCGTGGCGGCCTGTAACACAGAAGCCCAGGGAGCCCAGGAGAGCCTCAGTAAGGTGCGAGAACTTCCGGGGACCTGGGGCGGCTGAGGAGAGCCAGGTCAATCAGGTACCCTGGGGGTATTCAGGCCAGTCCCCTGCCGCTGGGTAGAGCTGCCCTTGACCAAGTCCAAGCACTCTGGTGTGGTTTGGGGGTCTCTGACCCACACATGTGCCCTGAGGTGAGGACAGAAAGAGTGAGAGGCACTTCCTGGTGATCTCAGGCTGAAGGTCACTGCAAGGGCAGAGCCTCCAGAATGTTGGGACATCTTCCTCATGCCCCATGACGCCTGGGAGGCTCCAGGCTTCTGAGAGAGGCGACGTGAACTCTTCTTGGTCTTCTGATCTGCTCTCTGCAAAGAGGCCAAGACACAGGCAGCTCTGAGAAGCCGCCTGCTTTGCCAACAGGAACAGAGAAGCACTGCTTCTTCTAGGAGAGAGCCGCTGCGGCTCCTTCTCCCTGCCCAGCCCGGGGCGTGCTCGCAGCCCACCCCGCTTCTCTGCAGCTCCTGGCCCACACTGTGTCATTAGAGCTGTGGCTTAGACACCGAGGAGGACTCGGCAGTCTGGACATTAGATCCAAGCACAGGCAGTGAAGGTGGCTGTGCTGGCTGCGCCGCCCGGATGGGAAGGAGGGGCTTGTGGGAAAGGCTTGAGGGCTCTGGGTGCTCCAGGGGTATGGGCTGGGGCCATTACCCTTTTCTCACCCTTCCTCACACCTCCCCTACAAAGAAACACCCCTGCTGGCTCATCCCTTCTGACTGAAGTGTGGTTCCCTTCAGATTCTTGACCGCCTATCTCACCAGCTCCTCCAGGACAGAACGAGGGGGGCTCAGGCCTCACCACCCCCCACAGCTCCCTATCCCAGCCCTGCACTGAAAGACCTAGTTCTCCAGTAAGTGCCAGAGAGGGGGCATGTGTGCGTGTGTGGAAGGGGGGGGTGAGAGGAGCCAGAGGCCTGGGTGCTGACTTAGAGCCTGAGGCCTGGGAGGCAGAAGTAGAGTGGCTTGGTGGTGGGCCTCGGGGCAGGGTGACTTTGGCCGCAGCCACAGTGCCCTTCTTGCCCTGCCTTGGACAGCATGCAGGAGCTCTGCGAGGAGATGAAGCTGCTGGCCTTTGACCTCCAGGACAACAATCGCATCATCGAAGGGTAAGGAGCCCCTGCAGTGTGCTGGGGGGACTGGTCCTCACGCTGCCCTTGCCTCAGAGCGCAGGGTCCCTGTACCTGCCCATGCAGGCTTGAGGACAGGTGTCCGTTTTCCCAACAGTCACGTCAGAGCTTCGGCTTTGTCCACGGTGAGTCTCTGTCCTCTCAAGGTGTAGGCTTACACTACAGTGTTGAGAATATAGTGCATTCCGAGATGAAAATTTCGTCTAATTTTAGCCGTTGCTAGATGTACAAAAAGAGAATCCATTTGACCTTGATGCTAAGGCCATTCTCAGTGCAGTCAGAGATGGGGGCTCAGAAGCACGTGGATTTGTGACTGTGCCCAGCTCTGTATGAATGAGGACTCTGCCTGATGCCTCACCGACTCCTTCCTTCTTGACAACCATCCTCAGAGTGGTTCTGTTGCATCTCCTTGTCAAGCACCAGGAAACTGAGCACAGAGCTCAGTGACCTGCCTGAGGCCTGGGCTTCTCCGGCCTCTCACACGGATGCTCATGGGGCCACTGGGGCTGCAGGCCCAGTGTTAGAGACTCTGGTCATCCCCGATTAGATCCCCTTCTCGGGGGGTGAGGGGCACTGGAGAGGGTTGGGGGGGAGGGCAACAGGGCTCAGACTTACAGACTTTATGCAGCAGTAAAGTTCCCAAAAGAAAACTGGAGAACAACAGAGTGACCAACTTCTCATAAAACCAAATAAACACATCTGAAAGGGGAAAAAACCCTGCCACTGAGTAGTCCCACTTCATAAAGCACATTTCAACTCCAAAGAGAAGGAAGGACACAATCTCAGAATCAAGGATGCCCTGAAGGTCAGTGGGCCTGTTCACATGCATATCCACTCACTACGCCTGTACGCACCCCCCACATCCTCTCCATCATCCTTACCTCTGTCACTTACCCCTTTGGGAACCAGGGTCATGGTGGAAAGAGTCCGCAGAGATTCCAGCAGGATTTGACTCCTGACTCTGCTCCTTAGAGTGACGGTGGGAGCTTTGTTCCCTCTGAGCTTCAGTTCCCTCCCCTGTAAAATAGGCATAATGAATCCTCCCTTGAGGTGCTAACGTAGGGGTTAAATAGTCAGAGACATGGAATGTGCCTGGAAGGGGAGGGCACAGAGGGAAGGACTCACTGACTGGTAGGTGTTCCCCAGAGGTCACCCAGTCTGGGATGGGGAATTGAGGCAGGAGGTAGGGACACCAGGAGCAGGGCTGTGGCTGTCCCGAGTCCCTGAGGGCCCTTGGGTTGAGGAGGCATCTCTTCCATGTCCCATTCCAGCAAGGAGAGGATCCATCCTCTTAAACACCCATGGAGAGGACATTCGACAGCTCCTTGGAAAGACTTTCCAAAACAGCCCTCATGGGCAGGAAGTTCTAATTTTAGTGCTGACATAAATTTTTCTTGCTGTGATATATAGTCTATTTACAGATAGTTCAAAACTTTCTTTTAGTGAATTTTCGTTTCCTTATTCAGAGTTGTAGGAATTCAGAGCCAAAGGAACCCATGTGAATTCCTCCTCCCTCCTCCTACCCCTGGCTGCACTGGATTAACCAGGGGAGCTATTCAAAGTGCAGATGGCTGGGTCTGGCGCCCAGAGACTCTAGATGTGGCCTGAGGTTGGGGATGAATTAAGCTTCCCAGGTGATTCTAACGTGTAGTCAGGAACCAGAAGCGGGGAGTTCTTGTTGGGGACAGAGATGCTACAAGAGGAGAACTGAGGACTTGAATGGCTCAGTGCTCCTGAAAGTTGATTGTGTTGGGCCCTGGGGTGGGGTCTGCAGGCTTCTCCACCTGGTGGGAGAAGCTAACCTGTGCCTTTCATTACAGGTTAAGTAGGGTCCCATCGGCTCCTGACGTCTGAGCTCTATGGCGCGCGCGGGGCATCCTGAAGCATTAGAATCATTCAAACACTGCTCTCCTGCCTGCACTGTGGGACTCAACACAGGAAGATATCTGGTCCCACCTTATCAGCCTACCTCCCTCCTGGCCGACAGCCAGGAGATGTCACCAGCATTACCTTCCACTGCCTTTCTGCAGAGGCGGCACAGCAGGGCGTGCGACACCAGGCCAGCGCTGTCGGGACCCCTGCCGGGCCGACCTGGGGTCTGATGCAGGCTCAGCTGCAGCTCCTCCGAGGCTCCCGTAGGCCTCTCACCCACCCCCTCTGGTTTACAGGGCTTCATTCCTCAGGGAACAGAGGCGATGCCTCCTGGGGTTTCCCCAGTGCTGGGTCGAATGACCTAATCTAGTCTCCCTTCCTCCTAAGGTGTTCACGTTGAACGTAAGCCCTCTCCTCTCTCCTGTGACTTCTGAGGGTCACACCCAGCCCAGGCATTCCATGGCCTGATTTTCCTTCTACCCTTGGTCTGGCTGAGCCTATGGTTGAGATAATGGGCGATGGAGGCCAGATGCTAGTGTCCCAGGACCCTTTTCCTCCTCTCTCTGAGGCACCACCAGGTTCTGGGACATGCAGCCAGCCAGTGTCAACAGCAACCATGCCAGTTAGCACAGCCTGGAAGTCCAGAGCCCTGAGGAGATAAAGGCCTGCACCTTCAAGAAATGGAATAAACGTGGCCTTCTTTTCTCACTCTGAGTGGCTGTGTCTGTGAGGCAGGGGAATGCTCTCGGCTGCTTGTGCTTGGCAGCCAAGCAGGTCCTGGGAGGTGGAGCGTTGGGAAGTGGAGGCAGGACCGATCACTTCCTGATCCTGCCTTTCCCCTAAATGGGCCCTCATTTCAGGGAACAGCCTAAGGAAGATGGCTCCTGCTGGGAGGGCTTGCCTTCCCATTCCTTCTCTTCTGCCCCTGTCATTTTACGAGCTGTATAAGGGACCTGGAACTTGGGGGGAAAAAGGTCTGCCTTTTTTTTTAACATCAAATCCACCATATAAAGTGCCTACTCCTTCCCCCCATCTCCCACCACTGTTCAAAACCTAGGCTGTGTCCTAGCTACTGGGTTTGAGCACTACTATGGGTTGTTTTGAGCATTCCCTCATTTGTCTAGAAACTAGAATGGTGCCTGGGTAAGGCATTCAGATTTGGGCAAACTGTTGGCAAATTTAGTCTTTCCCCTGCAGCACCTCCAGCCCTCTCCTAACTAGAGCTGCAATACCCAGTCAGCCTGGCGGGGGTGGGCCAGGGGAGAGGATGGAGGAATGCAGCCAAGTCGCCCCATTAGGGGAGGCAGGTGAGTGAGAAGCCCCACTTTGTGCTTTGAAGCATGAAGACAACACTACGCTTGACCCCAAATAACCCCAGAGATCATTCCTGCCCATCTTCCCAGAGCCTCCACATCCTCGGAGTCTCCCCTGGCTAAGGACCCAGCAGGGCAAAAGTGAGGAAGGCTGGGTCCGGGAGTGTGCCATCCATGGTAAGCCTTCTCGATGGAAAAGCCAGCATCTGCTCAAGACCAGAGGAGGGTGCTGGGGTTTGCTTGCATCAGGCCTAAGTGGCTTCATGTGTTCTATTTGGGCCTCATGCCCATGGGTCACTTGAGCCCAGTGGGTTCAGATTCTGGGCCCCAGGAGCCCACTGCTGCCTCAATGCCCCTGGGGACTGGCCACCTCTGGTCTGCTCTGCCTGTGTGAAGTTCAGGCCCACACTTTTGGCTCTTTAGTGTCCCTGCAGGGAAGTCCCACAATGGATTTTCCCTGGCAGCAGTGGCTGCTTCTGGACTGCACATGGTTGGTGGAGGTCCGTAAACGAGCCAGGGGATCCCTGAAAGCCACGTGCAGATTTTTGAGGGATGATATGACCCAGGCTCTCTGATCTCATGAGCAAAGCCCAGCAGGGGACATGCCCAAAGGCTTCAGTTCCTTCCTATGCCGGGCAGAGCCACCGACAAGGGAGCCTCCCCCGCCTACGTTTCTGCAGAGCTTCTGATTCCATCTCAGTATGGAGGGAGGAACTGGACCAGGGCCCAGGACCAGAAGAACCTTGTAAGAGCCTCAGGTGTCTGAAGACCTCGTAAACTTCCCTCTGTGTTCTCTGTGGTGATTCCTAACCACTGGAAATGGAGACACTGTTCAGTTCCTCAGATGTGAACTGAGTCCCTACAGTGTGCCAGGCCCCGTGCGAGAATCACAGAGGCAACTAAGCCTCCTTGCCTGGCCCTGAGGAGCTCACCTCCATGGGGGAACGCCTTTCGGTGTCACAGGGACAGTGCTGTGACAGGAATGCACAGCTCGAGTGCAGTATTACGTCACCATCATCACAGGGGAGGTGTCAGGGAGGGACATGTGGAGCAGGTGACTGGAGAGTGGGGTCTTGGCAGGTGAGCAGCGTCACCTCGCAGAGAAGGCACGGAAGGCATCCCTGTCGGTGGAGGTAGCACGAGCCTCGGCATGGAAGGAACTGCATGTATTTGTGTCACTGGGGAGTAAGTGGAAGTCGGTGTGGAGGAAGGGGAGGAGCCAGACCCAAAAGGTCCTTGTAGGCCACACAAACAACTTGGGCTTTACCTCAGGGAACTGTAGAAACAGGTTTTAGGTCAAGTCCAACTGGTATTTTAAAGATAGGACTCTTTGGTGCCTGTGCAGAGGGTGGATTGAAACACTGTGCCTCAGTTTCCTCATTTGTAAATGGAGATAATATTTTTCAAAGATATAGGTAGGGGGAGAGCAGACATTTTCATGAAGTGCCTGAAACCTGATGTTAGCTCTCTGCATACCCTCCCACGTCCACCTCAGCCACGAGGCCCCTGTGGAGGGTGGGTGGAGAAACAGAAGCTCCTGTCTCAGACAGGCGGAGGCAGGGCCCAGATCAGTCACACGTCTGGGAAGAGTCCACGCAGCATTCCGATTCATGGCGAGCATCCTCTTAGAACAGGCTGGGTCAGTTAAAAGGGGGCCTAACTGGAAGGATGCAGGGGCACGTCCTGGCTCCCCAGGCTGGAGTGCAGCAGTTCTCAGGGGCCTGGTGCCTCTCCTGGTGCCCTGGTGCTGCAGGGCGATAGTCTCTGTGTCTCTCAGAATCTACGCAGCTTCCTCTGTATAGGCTGATGTCCTGGTTCAAAACACAGGTTCTGGAACCTCCTGACTCCCATTGATAAGCGTGTGGCCCAGGAGCCTGTGTTGTTGATGAGCTTCCCTGGTGATTCTTGCACAAGCTAAAGTTTGAGAACACAGGCAGAGTTTGCAAATGTGCCACAGAGGACCTGGGAATGGCCCGGCACAGGCCAATCGGCAGTCAGTGGTACACTGGACTCGGCACCGCCCCCAACCTCATGGCCCAGGCTAAGGGAGCCAATCTAAGGGACAGGGTCGATCTCCACAATGGCCTGGGTACCCTCCCACGGGACCCACGGTTTGCTTTCGTGGGGCTGCCTCACTCAGCAGGGGAGCCTCAAAGGATTGCGGCTACTGGTTATTTAGGTTTCACTTTCAAACTGCTCCAACGTTTTTGTAAAGGGTAGAATTCCTGGCTGCTTTTCCCTTTATCTCACAAAAGATCCTTAATCAGGCAACTCCAATGGGAGGTGGTAAGGAATGGGCCAGGATGACCTGAAGTAACTTCAGTTTATTTTCCTTGGAAGCTCAGAATTACAGGAGCCCCCTGAAGCAGCTGGGTCCCTTCCCTGCACCCTTCACCAAAGACGGGGGGTGGAGGGGAGAGGGAGGGAGATAAGAGATGGGAGTGAGGAAAGGGAAGAGGGTGGGAGAGAAGGAGGGAAAGATGGAAAGGAAGGGAAAGATAAAGAGAGAGACAGAGGGCAGAAAGGGAGAAAGAATGAGCCAGGAGAGGGGGCAGAAATGAGAGGAACAAGACAGAGACCCAGAGGAGAGACAGGTGTGTGTGTGCGCATGCCCGTGCTGCCGGGGTGGGAGCAGGGATAGCCTGCGGGGTCATCCAGCCTGCTCTGTTTGCACTGGTCTGTCACAACCCCAGTCGGTGGCTGCCTGCCACAGCGATGGGCCCAGAGCTGGCTTAGTGCTGGAATGTAAGTGGCTGTGACTTGGAGCCTCCCCTCTGACCCAGGGGAAAAAGCTGCTGACAAATCTGCCTGGAATATCTGAGTTTTTCCAACGCGGAAAGAAGAAACATACACACACGCACACCAGTCTTATCACAAGCCTGGCAGAGTGGGTCGGGTTGGGAAATTCCATGACTGAGACGCAGATGGAGGAGGCCCCACAAAACCGCCGGGAAACAAGTGCTACCCACCCCCACCCTCCACAGCGACACCATCCCAGGAGTCCTCGCATCCCTGCTCGCATCCCCAGCCTGGTTTGTCCTTCCTGTCCCCAAGCTCTGTAAGGACGTAGATGCTCCCTGTGGGAGCACTGGAGTTTGGTGACACACAGAAAGCCCAGCCCCCTGCAAGTAGGGATGGTGCCCTTAGCCCTGGGCAGTCACTAGCACCTGAAGGCCGGAAACCTGCCCCAGTGCCCAGCAACTTCAGGGCATGCACGTGCATCTTAAATGCAGTTCCCATACCACCCCCTCTTCTCCTGTTCTCCCTAGACCAGAAGATTCCTTCATCTCCCCCTCCTGGTTGCAGGGGCCATGTGTGGAAGTGACATTCAGAGATGAGTCCTGGATTAGGTACAGGTGGGAGCCTAGGGCCGAATTCATTTCATTCGACATTTATCGAGCACCCTCTATTTGCCCTGCGTGGTGGGATCAGAAAGACCAACAAGACCCAAGTGAAGGAGGCAAAAATGTAGAAACTTAATTGTGACTCATGTTAGGATAACGTGAATGCTAGAGACACAAGCAGCTCGTTATGGGAGCCCAGAAAAAATAGCAATGAATTAGGTCTGGGTGACTCTGGGCCGGCTCTATGGAGGACCTGGCATTTCAACTAGACTTGAAAGGTGAACAGGATTTTGACAGGAAGAGAAAAATGGGGAAAGATTTTGCTGATTCTTTAAACTGCACCTACAAAGTGAGATCAGAGGTTTTAAACACTGCCCTTTTTAGCACACCAGCTGGGCAGTACAAAGGCAAAATCATGGATTTGAGTCCAGATGGCGACACCTTTTTGGGCCCGTCACATGACCTCTCTGAGCCTCAGTGTTCTCATCTGTAAAATAGGAATGCCAGTCATTCCACAGAGTTGCCATGAAGATGAAGTCATTCAAGCCAAGAGTACCTGCCCACCACGTAGTAGGTACTCGATGCATATTTCTTGAGTAAA